ATTGTGGGTATCTTGAAAAATCTGACCCTCTCAGTCTAATGCCTACTTCTTCCTCAGTGTTGTTTCTCACCTGCCTTTGCTTTCTTCCCTCTCTTTCCCCTCTCCCTCTCCTTCTCTGTCTCCCCCCCACCTCAATTTCCCCTCCCTAGCCTTCCATCCCAGACAAGTTTGATTCTATGTGCTTCCTCACTTTCTTACTCACCCTGGGCCTTTTGAAGCATACTTTGGAAATTGTCCATTTGCTTCCCTGACACTCTACTTGACCACACAACCTTGAAGGTTGGGGAATTTGTTTTATCCTTACACATAATAAGAACCTCAAAGATACTAGTCTATAAATGAACATATAAGTGAGTTATTGATGTTCTGATTTCACTGCTCTGTGATGGATAATGTCTGACATTTGTTTCTATGTACCAGACCCTGTTTTAACTTCTTAAACATAAAAACTGCCTATGCTGAGAAATAGATACTATTATATCTCTATTTTACAAATATGGAAACTGAGACACAGAGAGACTAAGTTACCTGCTTATCCTCATTCTACTAATAAGCAGTCGAATAGATAGAGGACCTTATGGAGTCCTATGCTAGAGTATTCACACTTAACTAATACACTCTATATTGCTTTTTTTTTTTTTAAGATTTTATTTATATATTTGACAGAGACACAGCGAGAGAGGGAACACAAGCAGGGGGAGTGGGAGAGGGAGAAGCAGGCTTCCCACCGAGCAGGGAGCGAGATGCAGGGCTCCATCCCAGGACCCTGGGATCATGACCCGATCCGAAGGCAGACGCTCAATGACTGAGCCACCCAGGCACCCCCCCGCCCAATATTGCTTTTAATTCAAAGCTATTGATACACTTAGAGAGTGTATCATTAAGGCCTGGCTATGTGAGAACCAGATAGATTAATGGAGAATTGGAAGGAGACCCATGACAGGTCCTTTTGAATCATAAACAAGTTGGGGGAAAGGGCCCAGCCAGGCAGGTGAGTGCTCAGTACAATTTGTCTGCATCCACAGACACCACCAGCCACATACTCTCAGAGAGTCTTCTAGAACACAGAAGACTGGAGTTGAGCACTTGCTGTTCTTCATACTGGGGATACCAAAAGTAGAATGACAGATTTTTCAAGATACCCACAATCTAGTGAAACACACTGCACTGCATGAGAAGTAGATAGGCAGAACAGAGTGTGGTTCACAGTGGAGTAGAGGGAGGACAGCCCAACCCCCTTGTAACTGACTCCCTCTTCCTTTGCCCCAAAGCCTGGCTAGTACAAGCCAGCACAGTGCTGAGTGCATATTGTGAGGTGCTAGGCAGAAGAATGCTATGTGAATTTGACAGCAAGAGTATCAGATTCCCACCATCTTGCTTTTAGTAAGCCTTGGAAAAACACTTCCGGTGCAGTGAGGAAGATGTTACCTAGATTTACGGACCACAGAGAGTCCACCACAGGCTTTCCCTTCTACTGCTTTCCACATCATGGAGCTAAATGAATGCCTGGTTCCTGGCTTTGGCAGGGCCCCGGAATCTCAAGGTTTTCTGTAGGACATTTGGGAATGTAGTGCTTCTCTAGGCAGCGGACGGGGCTGGGGAGAGCGATGAAGAGCTGTTTCAGAACAGATGTCAACAGAGCCCTTCTTTCCGTGCTGGGAATCGGTAAACACGTGCCACAGAGTGACTGAGGCACAGGCCCAGAGCCCACAGATGATGAGCCCACCTCCTGGGGGACTCTCGCACTGCAAACAAATTAGCTTTGATGGACGAGTGGCCTTTGCTTAGTCTTGAAGAATGTGGAGGTGGGAGCTCAGGGTGGTGTGGAGTTTAATTAAGGATGGCAGCTGGTGTAGCAGGTCAGCTGGCTCTGTGCTCTGCACTCCATTTATGTCACCAGTTACTACTTGCGTTTTGTTTTTCTCCAGATACTCCTGTTGCCCTGTCTTCTCCCTTGCCACTGTCCCCATGTTGTTCTCTGTGCTCTTTGACTGGTGTGACCTTATCCCCAAGTGCAGGCTCCAGGCAAGGACCACACTCTAGAGGTAGAAAAATTAAACTGTAAGGAAACTGCATAAACCAGGGCAGGTACAGTGCTCTGATTTGAGGTGCTTTCTCCCCGTGCCCACTGTCTCCCAATTTACATGTGTCCATTTGTCCCAGTAATGAAGTCTTGACCGCCTTGGGACTTATCCTATCTGGAGGGAAAAGAAAAATATGATTGGAGCATGTCTCATGTCTGTGTTACTGGGGGCCCTCCATCAGGATGGATGATGGCGGTGTTGGGGGAGTGCACCTGTCTCCTGTCCAAGTAAACCAGAGCCAGGGAAGAAAGAAAAGTGACTTAGAATCACACAGTCTCATGCCAGAGCAGGATCTCTAGTACTCGGGCCTGTGAATGCTTAGGTCTACAGGAGAATGGACTCCATAGGGTTCTTATAAGAGTGAGCAGGAACGTTGAAATCATTCAGTTGATTAGCCAAGTACCAACCATCACTGCAGACATTCCTGAATAGAAAAATCTCCAAATCACCTGCTTTAGTGAAGTGAAAGAGAAAGAAACACACAAACAAACCCTGGCTCTTTTGCTGCTTCTTCTGGTGACATGAGATCCAGGTAGACTAAGAAGTGGTGGGAAGGAGGGGCGCCTGGGTGGCTCAGTCATTAAGCTTCTGCCTTCAGCTCAGGTCATGATCCTGGGGTCCTGGGATCGAGCCCCACATCGGGGTCCCTGCTCAGCGGGAAGCCTGCTTCTCCCTCTCCCACTGCCCCTGCTTGTGTTCCCTCTCTCGCTGTGTCTCTCCCTCTGTCAAATAAATAAATAAAATCTTTAAAAAAAAAAAAGTGGGAAAGAATCTCTAAAATTTTCTCTGATGGCATCGTATTTGGGGAAATGTAGTTAGACGATCTATGTTTATGGTGTAAGGCCTTTCAGGAAGTGTTTTATCATACTGGATGCTACTTATAACGATGCTGTATGTGCTCTCGAAACTTTCTGGATGTGAGGCTCTTCCCTGCATTAACAGCTGTTTGCTCGCTCACGTGCCATACAAATGAGTTAATTACCTACAGCAAGAACAGACTTTGAAAACAAAGCAAGAAATATATAAAATAAAAGCTGTTGTCTCCTGATTACAGTTTCTCCTGTAGTCATTTTCATAAAAAGAACCAGGCAATTGTGTGTTATGCCAGAATTCTAGGAAGACTGGGTTTTTAGGATTTTGGACTGTGGTGACCCTGAGTAGAAGCATACTTTGTAGAAAAGTCCTCAAAATTTGAGTGTCCCAGAGGCCTTTAGCCTTTGGGATAGGATTACCCAATCTTGGCTTGGGGGTCTGAAAACTTTTAATAAGGGGAAATAGTACGCCCAGCAAGTAGAACATCATTTTATTTGAGGGCGTTGAGGTTGGGGTGGGGGGCGGGAAGGGATGCATGAAACACTTCAAAATTAAAGGAAATTTAGAGATTATCCATTTCATTATTTTAAAAAATGAAAATGGTGAAATCAGAGGTTATCTGTGCCTTAATAGTGGGGTCCCCTTTCCTAACCCATAAATGTGGAGTGGTCTTGAGTTTCTGTTGTTAGTAGAATGGTCCTAAGTATTAAACTGAGGGGTTGTGCTCCATAGCTCCCATGTCAGAAAGTCTTTAACCAGAGACTTTAGAATAATTTTGACTCTTTCTTTCCCAAATGGCCACAGTGGGCTTGCTTTGGCTTTTAAATTGGAGCTCCACGGAAACCACTTTACCTGTCTCAGAGTATTAAACATAGCTGTTGGTGACTTCTGGCCCTCATTCCTTATTCCTGTTATTCTCCTAGTGGCCATGTTCTCCAGTGTCCTATAGGAAACCAAGGCTTGGTATGTAAGTTGATTATAAGCTATATTCCCAAGGAAAATGGCGTATCATGAAACTAGCTGTAAGCTCCTGTGGAGCAATGATGTTGTGTGTCTTCATATCTTTCTCACTACCAAGCACTGTGTTTTCTATAAATACAATACTTAAATATTTGCTGATTGAAAATATTCTAGTTGTGAAAAATATCTTTAATATTTCCATCAGTGATCAGAACAGAGTAGAGTTAAGTAGATAGACTTTGGAGACAGATTGCCTGGATTTGAATCCAACTCAGCCAAATAGAAGCCATGACCTTAGGCAGGTGACTTAAATTCTCTATGCCTTAGTTTCCTTGGCTGTAAACTGGAATGTTAATAATTCCTATCTTACAGGGTGGTTTTGAGGATTAAGTGAGTTAATATATTCAAAGCACTTAGAACAGTGCTTGGCACAGAGAAAGTACTCAGCATTAGCTATTACTAGTCAGGATGCAGCAAAAGCTGTCTTGAACTGTTGTTGAGAAATGTTCCAGAAGAAGCATGAATATTATATTACCTGAGCACATAATAAATTAGAGTGATTGTTGTTGGGGTCATCGGTTCTTATAGTTCTGGACATTTCTTTGTTCAGAACTATATTTGTACAGCTCTTAATTCTCTTATGCTGCAGTAGACAGGTTTTCTTAACAAGTAAATAGATTGCCCATCATGGTCACTATTGTCTAGAGCCACATTGTGATCTGTCCATTGCCCTCTTAGAGATGATTGTGGATGAGGTCCCAGTGGCTTTCTTCCTTTGGTCCTACACAGGTATCGGTGTGGATCAGTGTATCTTTCCTTTCCCTTCTTCTTTTTTTTTTCCCTTTCCCTTCTTCAGCAAGGCTGTATGTGTGTTCTTCTCCTGTATGTACTATCAGCCACACTCAAGTTGCTCCTGACATCTTGGTCACTGTTTCCTTGAGACTTAGGGATTTTCTTCTTCTCATCTTTTAGAATCCAACTTGAAACCCATCTTAACTTGAATAAGAGAAATCTACCTTGTATATTCCTATTCATCCATCCACCTATCACTGATTCATAAGCTCTTTGCCCTGAGATTGTTATTGTGTGATCTATCCCCAACTGATACGAGTAGGTATCCTCATTCTGGTTTTATTTCCACAGTATGTTCCTCCAGATCTCTGCGTCTGCAATTTTGCGCTGGAACAGTCCCTCTCTGTGAGAGCCCTACAGGAAATGCTTGCCAACACAGGTGAAAATGGCAGCGAAGGGGTGAGTATCTGATTTACGTCCTAGGTGGGGATTGGGACACACCACAGCCCAAAAGTGCATACTTCATTTCATTCCTCCAGGTTCAAACCAGGAAACCTTAGGATCCTTGAGCTGATCCATATAGAGATACTAAATCTTTCTCTCTGTGTTTAATTCTTGTTACTGAGCAACCCTAAACCTGCTTCCTTTGGGTTAATCAACTTCCACCAGAAAACGGAAGAGATCACCATTGATGCTGCACAAGCAGGATATAGGACATTGAACCTACTCCCCTTTCCTAACCCATAATCCACCAGGAAATGTGAGGAGGGCATTGAGATGGAGGGTGCCTGTTAGGCAGTTCTTTTCTCTTGGAAAACTCTCATCAGAGATTTATGACTGCCCCCAGTGAAGTACAACTATGTTATAGCAGTTTGGTGAGGATTTCCAGTAGAATTCAATCTTTGACTCCCAGGACTCCACAATTTCACTCATGATGAGAAAATGTAGAGTGGTCTTGAGTTTCTGTTGTTAGTAGAATGGTCCTAAGTATTAAACTGAGGGGTTATGCTCCATAGCTCCCATGTCAGAAAGTCTTTAACCAGAGACTTTAGAATAATTTTGACTCTTTCTTTCCCAAATGACCACATCTATTTATATCTATTTATCATCAGGTATTTTAATTCTGTGGCCTGCATATCTCAAATCCAAACATCTCTCTTGATCCCCCTTAGATACCCCACTAGATGACTATCCTCTGTCTTCTGGGTTATAGCAGTAGCTTACTAACTGCTTTGTTTCCTTCTATACTTACCCACCTCCGCCGCCATTTTTTTTGTTCAGCTATTATAATGTTCTTTCCAAAATGCACATCTAATCATTATACTTCCCTGTTTTAAAATGCTTTGTCTTCCTATTACCTTGAGAAAAATTCCAAATTCCTTAACTAGATATAAAACCCTTCTGGATTTGTGAACCCTGCTCAGCTTTCCTGCCCTATCTCTCACCGCTTCCCCCCAGGGCACTCAGTATTCAGCCATACTGAATTCCTTTCACTTCCTCAAATATGACAGTGCTCTTTTGCCTCTGTTCATGTGTGTCAGCTATTCCCTCCATTTAGAACAGCTTCCTCCTCCTCTCTGTCTTCCTCTGTGTAATCTCTACTTCTCCTTCATGGAACCAGTTTAAATACCAGATCTACTGAGAAGCCTTTGTTGACCCTGCAAGTCTGGGATAGGTGTCCTTGCTTGAGCAACAGTCAATAAATAGTTCTCCTCATTCTGTACTATAATTGCAAGTCTAATTTTTTGCATCCTATACTGGGGAGTAAACTGCATGTAGGTAGGAACAATTTGTAATACCTAGCACAATTTATTCTCACTTGACTCAGATGAACTCATACATAATAAAGAAATGTCTCATTTATGGTAGAAGAGATGATGACCAAGGACTCAAGGGAACCAGTATTTACATGTAGGTCATCTTCCAGCTCATAGTGTAATCTTACTCAAGATTTATTATCTCTTGGGTCCATAGTGTTCTCATCTATAAAATTAGAATGTTTAATTAGTTTTCTAGGGTCCTTGACAACAGTGTTTGTAATTCTTCGCTCTTTTGGTTTAAAATAATATGCTTTTGTCAGCTGCCTGAGAATAGCTTTGTTCTGTACTGTAGAGCATTAACACAGGTGAGTTTTTGTTCACTGAAGTCTGTGTCTGCTTCCCCCTCACGTAAACCTCAGTACCAATGCTTTCCTCCATAGGCACATACCCTTCAGCTCAGTCGAACAAATCTATTTTTAATTCTTCATTATTTTTCCAAAACTAACAACTCATCATTTATAGACCTCTTTGGTGAGGGGGAGCTGGTTGATTTGGAATATTAGCACTTTCAGTTTCAAGCAAGAGCAGCTAGACTCTGCCTACTTATGGCCCAAGGATAGAAATTGGGAAGGTAGAGAGAAGCTATGTTAACTGAAGAACTACCTCTTGGGCATTCTCTTATCCTGTTTTGCTCAAAAAGTGTATTTAAAAGGACTTCGTTTTCATTTAGCTTGAGTGGTTCAGGAAGTTCTGTACATGAAAAAGTAAATTCAGAAGTTCTGGTTGTAATCCTTGCTCTTCTTAATTGCCATGCACTTAAATAATAGGCTTAACTTGGTTTGTCTTAAATAAGAATATATAGCAATGCATTTTCCAAAGAGAATGTGAAGACCAACTTGTAAGAGTGAGTACATAGTTTGGAACATAAAAATAAGACCTACTTTAAATACCAGCCATGTTATAGGAAAAGTTTACTCAATATAATTATATATTTCAGGGGCCATCTTTAATTTGCCATATTTAAAAACCAGTACATTAAATCTTATTGGGGGATTCATTCTCTTTGAAAACTTGAGTCCAAAATAAATGATCTGTGACATTTTTATTAAATATGCATTGGATAACAGTAATCATCATGTTGGGTCAGACTCAAATTTCCCATGTGTCATGTTGCCTTTTTGTGCTATTTTACCAAAGATAATATTCTCATCTTGACATGTGTATCATCATCATCATCATCATCATTGACTAGGGATCTTAGAGCTAGGAGGAAGGGACTTGGAAGGAGAGCTGGAGTCTTTTGAAATTATTAAGATGTTATTTGTTGGTGGTTCTATTAACTAGTCACCTGGCTAGCAGCTTCAGCTACTGTAACCCTCTTGGACTACTCTCACAATTCCATCTGGGCTCCCGATCTTTACTATGAGAAATAATATTTTTATATAACCTCTTGAGTCTGATTGTTTTGCTTTCCTGAAGTGATTTCTGTGCACATTTACCATTAGTATTTAATTTGATTTTAGACAATAATATTCAGCAGGGAAGAAGAAGAGGGGGGAAAAAAGGAAGTGAGTTAACATGACAGACCATAATGATACTCTGGGAAGCCTGGGGATGTTTGAGTGGGATGACGCTTCCTTTGTATGCCAGTCCATTCTGTTTGGAAATAGGCATTTACTGCTTTTAAATAGATATTACTTTCACTAATGATCATGACTGCCACCAAATGGGATGTTTTGAAGAGTGTAATTTTTCTTTCTAGCCATAAATTGGTCCTCATGTGGTGTGTCTGTTCACTGCTTTGCAGCAACTGAACACGTTTAAAAAATGACTTCAGTTGTTGGTTTATTCACGTGATCTGTGTACAGAAGTCTTTTTGCAAGGATTTACAATTCTGCAGCAATTCCCCTTGCTAACAGAAACAAAGGTGTCCAGCTTTGTTTAACAACAGAGTTTGTTCTTGAACTGTCCTTAACTATAGCAAGTAGCTTGTGGGACCAAGCTTTACATTGAAAAGGAGAAAAAATGAGGCCAAGAACGTGTGGTGCCCCTCCAGAGTCCACCCTAGCTGAATTCATCTTTGGGTCAATTTGACTCTGATTAAATCCTATATGATTTTATTCTGGAGAAAATTACCAAGAGATAGATGTTTGGCACTGTGGCCAATTAAATGGCTGAAGTTTGAAGTAAAACCCCTGCATACTACAAATATTAAAATATTTTCACATTTTTGATTGATTGGACCTACAGTATGTGAAATACCCAGCCGCTTTCGTCAGGACGTGGCACTAAAAGAGATGTCAACACGTCCCCTCGGAACCCTCAATCCCACCATCCCTTAGAAATGACTTTGAAGAGAGAGCAAGCAGCGTTGGTCATGAGAAAAGCTCCATCTTTAGAGCCAGGCAGATGGGCTTTCAGTCCAAGCTGTATGCATCAGGGGACTTCTGGGGCAAATTATTTTTCCTTTCTGTACCTTACTTTCCAAATCTTCAAAATGCAACCTACCTCGTGGTGTTGGGTAGAAATTAAATGATAGAAATCTCTACATGTGCCGAAAATATATACTGGTTCCTCTTCATCTCTGCTCCACTCCCTCCTTTCATATTCAAATACCTCACAGGAAGGAGAAGTCCCTGCTATATGACCAGGTGCACAGAACTCCAAGTGGGTTTTGACGTGAATGGGCATAATGCTTCTAAAAATGAAAGGCCTTGATTAACACAATTACCAGCTGTACTCCTTCTGATAAGGGCTCTGATTTTCTCTAAAACTTGACTTAATCATTGTTAGACGTCTACCACTTAAAAAAAAAAACCATATAAAATGCATTAATGCTATGATTGCCCATAAGACGGAAGAACATGTAACATCATGAACACCTGAGATCATGCTTCCCTTTCATTGCTAGAATGTCTAGAATGCTAATGCACAATCAGCCTTTTAACCTTGATTGGGAAACGTGACCTGGGAAGTTATTACTTCGCAGGAACTTTTCTTACAGTTAACCTCCCTGAGAGGTAGCTCTTTAATTTCCCATATTACTTATGTGATAATCCCAACTACTAACCCTCAAAGGAGCATCAGGCTCCTTTCACTTGCCCCTGGCTTTAGAGGGGGCGTACTACACACAACACAGCTGCGAGAGAAATGCACACGTGTGGCCTACAGTGCAGTTGCCCTGTCTGAGGAGGATGAGCCTGCGCCTTCTGAGGATCTAGAGATTGTCTCCTCACACCAGGTGACCTTAGAACCAGCAGTGAGACTTAATCTCACATTATGCTGTATTCGTGTAAAGGTCATTAAAATACATGTCCTGAGATACTTAGCTTGTAGTCAAGTTCAGGACATTGATCCATTTTATAAAGTCACAGAAATGTGGCAACATTATTTAAAAAGAATCTGCAAAAGATACATCCACCCTGAGACTGGTCGGTAAGGAACAAATCAAAACAGGTGCTGCTGAGAGTTAGAAGCCCCTTGACTAAAGTCTGAACTCTAGCTGTGCCCAGAGGTAGAGATCTTGTATGAACTCATCCAGAATGAAGAAAGCAAATTCCCACCATTTCTAGATTGTAGGAGAGACGGGATACCCCATTATCCAGATTTAGCCCCTCAATCTGAGGTTTTTGCCTTCCTTTCTTAGTTGTCAGCCAATAGCCAGAATGAGAATTTATTTTGGTATGTGTATGGAAAGGG